GGGGGGGGGGGGGGGGGTCGAATTTCACTACTCCGATTTCTGAAAAGATTAGCTATAAAAATCATAAGCACATGAATTTTTTTTTAAAATAAAATATAATGTGAAATAAAATCTAATGAGTGCGCGTCGCGTATGAAGCTTGAGGGACAAATTTGACGTACTGTCAGTCAATGGTAATAAAACTTGGGTCGTAGTTAATGACGGTCTTCAACAATGGTCTAGCGTCAGGTACATATTGTGGACGGTCCTTCGGGCATGCCGTCTAGGCAGAACGTGTAGTGACTCGTATAGGGCTGTCTTTGTTGCTTCAAAGCGAGCCTTTTGACGTCTGATCTCTTCGCTATGGGAGCAACAAAGACCGGGCTGTGGGGACAAATCCCCACAATTGCGGACGAATATATTCGTCATCATAGGATCGAAGGGGCGTAAGAAATGCCAATAAACATTGCATTTACGCCCCTTCGGATCGACAACGTGTATTCTACCATTCACTAACAGAATTGATGTTTAAACACACACATTGACTAAACTATGTACATGTGCATTGAATCTCGTTCGAATATTTCGTTTCTGTAATATTCCCCATCGTTAGACAAATTAATTGTTAAATTCATTTAATTCTGACGAATTATGAAATTTTGGAGATTAGAGTTATCAGGCTGGATTTAGTATTTCCCCTTTCCATGGTCAATCGAGAAATTCATGAGAGAGTATTTCTTCATTCCAGGGATCCCCATCAATATTAAATTTCTGTAATATTCCAAGGATTTGACCCTTACATTACTGAAGGTTTAAAATATGTTGATTCAATTTTTCAAATAATATAATATGAATAATCTGATTTTTTACGAATAATGATATATTTAAAATTTGTTAATATGAAACTGTAAATTTACTACTAAGTGAATAATTCAAATTTCCTGAAAGGGGATTTTCGATTACACAAGTAACCGTGAATCTGCCTACCCCAAATTATTGATTGATAAAATAGTTGAAAATTTGAATATTTGAATTGATGATACTTAAGTACTCAAAAAATTTCAAGAGTGATGTTATTTAATTAAGCGCTACAATATTAACCGTAGTAAAATATTACAAATTAGTCCGGCTTGGGGCAATTGCGATTTTTAATCTTTCGGAAACCGTCAAACGGAAGTCTAGACATCGAGAATCATCAGAGAAGTGTTAGAAAACATTCTCCGATGAAGCTCGGTCGACGGCCGCCCGTGTCGACGAAGGTTTTCCATGGTTTCCCTTGGTCACCAGGAGAGTCTGTACGTGGGGTACAGCTCCTGGGGTACAATGCGACACGGTTGGAGAGGAAGTCGGCCCATGAAACCGCAAACATGTAAAAACCCGAATAGAGTATATATAGCAAGAAAAACAAATAAATATTACAAATTTGGCTATCCCTGCTTCATTCCAATCTGATCTTGGAGAAGTGAACGCTTTCATCCCATGAAGCTTCGAATTAAGAAAAATTTTCAACAGTACCAGGATTCTTCCAGGCAAAATTGAACATTAAATGTTGTATATTTTTTTTTCTATTTCATTGGTTTTATCGAAGTAATTCTCGATTTGAAACCCCTCCTCTAGCCTGTCTCCCCTCCTTTCTTTTTCCTCTCATTAAATGTTGTATATTTGAGGGGAGTGTCGAACTGAGGGACTAGGGATTCACTTTCGCCGAAGGAGACGCTAAAATTACTCACCTCTAGGGAACCTCAATGAATAGGCCAGATTTACGATATTGCTGATGGAATTCACAATCCTCGTCCCTAATAGCCTCCCTTGCACCTCCCACTATTTCGTTCTTCCGATAATTAGAAACTTTTCAACCATTTTCCCAACTGTACTAATGGTCAGTTACAACGAAATTTTTAAGGGGGTAACATCAAAGCAATTTGCTTCCTTACTGTTACAAACTCAAGGACGAATTCTTAGTGTTTTTGATAGTATGTGAATAATAGTTGATTTATTCAAAAAAGAAAGAGTGTCTAATATGCCTTTAACGCGACAAGATATGAAAATTCCATTGGTTGGTAATGCAAAACCGGAAATTCGGGGTAATCAACTACCTTCGAAGAAACAAATTTTGGAGTGTTTTTTTACTATACAAGACATTTCACGCCAAAAATGCTCGCGAAGCAGCAACATGTGTTATTCGCAAGTGTGCTATATTTTGGGACTATGGCAAAATACCAATGATAAAAGAGTGTGATGCGATTAAAAAATTGGAGAAATTAGTCGATGAATATAGAAAAGTGTTCAAGAACGGTCCCTCACGCAGGGAAAATTGTATCAAAGCCCAAGTTAAGGAGATTGATTTCAAAAGCATGTTGAACGACTTATTTGATATTGCGCATGAGAAGCAAGTGGCTTTGATGAAAAATGAATCCGCAAACATTTTTTTGGAGCTCCAGCGCGAAAAGGGGAGGAAGGGTTACTTGGACCAAATTATTGATACAACAGATTGGGCTCCAGCGTGCGGAGACGGACATGAAGGAGCGCTGATCGATAAATCCGAAAAAGGTGCGAGATGTATTGAAAATATTTTTCAACATTCCTTATCACTATCAGGTGATCATGGAGAGTTCAATGAAAGTTTGTTGACGGATTCAATATTTTTGGGAAGAGCAAGAAAAACCAAGTTCCTGTGGTTTAGAACTTTTGTTTTTTGAAATTTTGCCTCAAAATTTCAAGTTTTTTCTATTTTTTATCGAAAAGTATAATTCAAAAGAAAGCTCTTTTTTGATGTACGAAGAAGGGTTTTGACACAAATAAATCGATTTTTGGCCGATTGTTTCGTTACATTGGAATTTAAAAAAAATGGAGATTTGTGGGAGTCCCGAATTTATATTGCTGCAATAATGGTTCAAGAAGGATTGAATCCAGTTCTAGTTTCTCACAAGAATATCATATGTCAAACCTAGCTAGAAGTTGACAGTATCTCATTCATTCTCGTGAAAAGAAATGTGTACCCGAATAATCGAATCCAAATTCAGTTTCCCACAAAAAATAAAAATATAATAAAACCTTTCCGTTTAAGACACATGCAAATACGCGTTTCTACTACGATGTTGATTCAATTAAATTTCTAAAAAAGTTTAATAATGGGGGAAGGGTGATAAATTGAGAAATAGCAACAGGGGGGAGAGGGAAGCGATGAGAGATCTCCTGACAACATAATTTTTCGGGATAAACATTTGAGCAAAGCAGTTTTTTGCGTTCTAAAAAATTATGTCATCGATAAATCGTATTAATCGTTGAAGCTTATTTGAAAAGTCAAGCGGCATCCGTATACCCTCCCACCCCTACCTTCTACGGCTTCCCAGGCACGAGAAAAATTGGAAAAAACAATTTTTTTCGTTTCAAAAAGGTACGTCATTATTAAATCATACACCTCCGGGGAACTTTTGAATTTTCGTTATTTTTCCAAATTTATTTGAAAATTCTAGCTGCCTGTGCTTGCCCCCCCCCCCGCCCCCCGTCGTTCTCCGCCTTTCTGCCATGAAGAAAATTGGGGAAAACCAATTTTTTTGTTCCAAAAAATGACGCATCGCTGAATCGTGCCCCTCAGGGTAACTTTTGAACCTCCTCTATTTTTTTAAATTTATTTGAACATTCTAGCCGTATTGGTACAACCCGGTTGCATAACTGGACCTTGCTTCTTAAGGGTATTATAGCGGGGTCCATAGCTGGAAAAAAAGCAGAGAATTCAATGATAATTGCTGAATACGGCTTTCAAATGGATCGAATAATCTTCTCAGCAATTTTCATTGAATTCTCTGCTTTTTTTCCAGCTATGGACCCCGCCATAACACCCTTAAGGGTTTCATGAGTGAGTCACTGACGGTACTGTTCGATGAATTCTCTAAAAACTGTAGCCGAAAGAAAAGAAAGAAAACTCATGGCAATACCTTTCGTCTTCCGTGGCGCAGGCCACGTCGCCCAATTTCCCAGCCTCTACCCTTAACATGACTCATAGACGGCCCTAGGTCAACATTACAAAGTTTTAATCGTCAGTGTTACTCGCCTAGTCAATAAGACAAGATACAAATGAACGGGAGCATATACATTTCCTGCCATTCAACAATCCCCCCGGTCGAACACGGAAATCCTAGTAACAACTATCACTGTTCAAACATGCTAAACAATTAAAAACCTTCCTTCCAATTACAATGCCCTTCCATCAATTCTCAATCACGGATGAAAAAAGCCAAATTGAACAACCCCTTATCACTAGCTACCTCAAAGAAACGAATAGAAAAACGACAAATAATGCAATCTCTCAGCAGCAATAAAGCTCTTCCGAACCGCCTACACTGACAGAAAAAATTAATTTTATCCAGAGAATGTTATTTGAACCAACTATCATTTGGTTCTTAATTTTCAAATAAACATGATTTCATAGTGAATACCGGTTATCCCTTCATGAGATACTTTTGATTGGGAGAAATTGAACTTCTCTAGAATTGAAGTACCTTTAATTTTTCGCAATAATCAGAGTATTTGATTTCTTTCTAGCCAAAAGTTTACCAACTCCAGAAATTCGGTGGTTTACTCAAAAATCAAAATTATTCTCATCACTAAATACGTTGTTATCTGAATCAACACGATCATACGTTTTTCCAAGTAAATTATAATTAAAGTCAGCATTTCGTATGTCGACTCAGGATGAATATTGTTACGCGGAAAAAGCTTTGAGATTGTAATAAGATTTCGTTGTGTTGAAAGAAGTTTATATGTCTTGACTAAAAAAATTGCATTAGTTTACAATAACAAAATCAGAGATTACAGCAATTCAACACAAACTTGGATATCACAAATTTCGTTCAATGTGATGTACGGAACGCTCAATTTAAATATTGGGTTCATTCGAGAAAACAACATTTAATTCATTCCTCAATCTAATCCTCTTCTAAGTACGAATTTTTGATCAATTTATGAAAGTAGAAAATTTCTCGATTGGAGATTACCTATATTAGATTTGAAGAAATAGAACTTTTCCACTTTTGTGGTGAATGCATGTGACTTGACGCCAAGGACTGTTTTATTTGATTCAAGTAAACGTATCTCAAGAGGAAATAATTGATATTCATCGCAGGGATAGCCAAATTTGGAATATTTTATTACGGTTAAATATTGTAGCCCTTAATTACATAATATCACTGCTGAAATTTTTTGAGTATTTAAGTATCATCAATTCAAATATTCAAATTTTCAACTATTTTATCAATCAATAATTGAGGTAGGAAGATTGACGATTATTTGTGTAATCGAAAATCCCCTTTCAAGAAATTTGAATTATTCACTTAGTAGTAAATTTACAGTTTCAGATTAACAAATTTTAAATACATCATTATTCGTAAAAAATCCGATTATTAACATTATATCATTTTAAAAATAGAATGAAGATATTTTAAACCTTCATTAATGTAAGGGTCAAATTCTTGTAATATTACAGAAATTTATTATTGATGGGGATCCCTGATTCACCGTAAGATCTTATTCATTTGAAATTGAATCAAGTATGTAATACTTGTTCCGAGAAAGAAACATCTCATTAAAAATACTCGTTTCCGTCAGAGTACAAACAAATCTCTTAAAATAAACCAATGCAATTCATCAATAACTCATACCAGACCATTACGTCTAGTTATCACTCATCACCCTCTACTTTTCACCCCAGCTTTCTCGCCGGGCCTCCACATTTCGTCGCAGACATCCCGAGAATCTCTCGACCGAGTTTATTTGCAGTCAAAAGTTGCGGAGACCGCGCGTCAGTCGTGTCTCGTGGTTGGTTGAGTGAAGATCGCTCGGAATTTATCCCCGCTCGTTCAACTGATTGAACACTATACTATATGCCATTCACAATGAGAGAGTACCGAGAGTCTTAAAAAGTTTGTGTATTTGTGCATAAAACAGTTGAAATAATCAAGTTCAAGGGATAACATTGGTTTTGCCTGGGGTGGGCCTTGGCGAGCCCTAGAAGAGACCAGGCAAGCCACCGAATCAGGAGCATCGAACGTCAAAACAAACAGTGGAACAATAAAAATCATCAAGATTATGTGACAAAGTGGATGGAATTGTTGCGGAAATCGCGAGGTAATTTAATTTGCACCAGTGTCTCGCATTATTCCACAAATTCCCCCTCATTTCCTCTCAACTACTGAACTTAGAGGTTAACAAGTGAATTGCAATGATTGCAATTGATAATCAACTCAATTTCAGCAATGAAAAATAAGGAAAATTGTTAATTGAACTCAGGGATAAGAGGTTTTGGATTATTTGGAGAAGGTCAAGTATTAATTGCCGTTATCAGGCGCCAGTTTAGTGGGAGATTTGGTTCAAAGAATATCAGCAGCTCGCGAAACACTTGCATCAGCTTGTCTCCATGAGTTATTACTCTTTATTAACTCCTTGACGCACGAGGTACATTCATTAATATTTGGAATTAGGGTGATTAGAGTCATTGTAATTGTTGGAGCTTTTGGGGGTTAATCGAGTGTCTGGAAAGATTCGCACTTGCGTCATTAGTGGATCACGGCGATTATGGTGATTAATGTGATGATTGTGTTCCTCTCAGACGTGTTTTTTCGTTGTTTTTTAACTTTCGGATCTGTCGGGTACACTGAGAGAAAAACGACAAAGTTCTCAAACAAGTCTTACTTGTGCCAAGAAAATAGTTTTTCTGTACTGCTTCTCACGATTTCTCGTCTGGGAATTGGTATTACATACTTCCCAAACTCGAAAACTTGAAAATCACTACAGAAAAATATTGTTCCTGGGCTGTTGCGATGGGGTTTTTTTACTCGTGTGGTTGGCCAGTCCTCGCCTACGGCTCGGAGGCCAACGCCACACGAGTAAAAAACCCCATCGCAACAGGCCGGAAAAATACTATTTTGGAAATTATCAAAAAAGGATTTTTTTGTGCCAAACATGCAGAGAGTGCGCCGGAATGAAAAATTCTTCTCGCAAAAATAGATTTAGTAGTTCAAAAAAATTGCATTCTCTGTACACGCAAGAATGTCATTTCTAGCACTACTTCGTTATTCGATACTCCCATACGTATTTTGTTCCCGAAAAATCTTTGTTTTATGCGAAACAAGGGATAGTAGTTGTTCGTTTCGGCAGTCTAATAATCACAGACAAGAAATGAACACTTAAATGAAACAATAATAGTGATATGATAGCAATCTTGTAACTTGGGGATAAAATATTTGTTGATAAATTTTCCTCTGTATGAGATATTTTCATCCTGAAAAGACACCGTCTGGTGTGAATTATCCGCCTCTTGAGCTAAATTTTTCTTTGCTGTCGAAAGCAGAACAATTAGGGGAGGGTGGGGTAAAATGGACACTTTCAACTTTTTAAAAATTATTCATAACTCAGAAACAAATGTATCAATTGAGCTCAGTTTAGGCTCGTCACAAAGGGAAAGAATGATTTTTTGTATTGAAAAAAAAGAAATTTTATCACCATTTCAACCCTTCAACATTTTAAAAAAAGTCAAAAGTGTCCGTTTTATCCCGACGTCCCTATTCATGTTTGAGACTTTCAAATTGGAACCAAACACATTCGTTTTTGGCAATTTTCAACTAGCGATTTTGTTGACCCAAACAAGACTTGCTGACAACGTGTTTTTCTCTCAGTGTAGTTATAGTAATGACCCTGAAAATCGAGTGTGGAATTTTCGCGATTTTTCTACATTTCTTGACGTTTAGAATCATTTTGAACAAATTTTGAAGACATGTTCATATGTGTGTGTGAATGTGTATGTATGTAAACAAAAAATTTACCCGGCGATTACTCTTGAACGAATGATGCGATTTAAGGATGTTTATTAAAAATAGCAAGTACTTAAAAAAAAATTAATTTTTTTAAAACTGAGAGACGAAGATATTCCCGTCACTTTGATACAAATTTCAATCCACTAGCCCATGTTGATTATTTAGAAACAAAATAGACAAAATGTACCAAAATGCATGCTCTAACATGCGCTTATATGGGATAGAATCATTCAAATATTTCCTCTTTTTGCCCGGCTACCCAAGATTCTTCTCTGGCCATTGGATTCAGTATGATTTTACACATTACCTGCTATTTTCATTTCTATTTTTAGAGTCTTCTAGTAGATGAATTATCAATTTGAACATAAATTTCATTAGAGCCCGTGTATAAGGAAAAATTTGTTTATTCATTTCTACTAGGACTATTGTGATTCTTTTTTTTACGTTAGAAAAGTTAGTTTTATAAGTTCTGCTGTCAGCTGAAAAAATTACAGAATTTTCCTTGACCATGAAAAAAAACATTTATGGAGAATTTACCGACACTGGCTAAACATCCTCAAAGTTTTTTTTGCAATCGATGCGTCTTAGTGTCACTCAGAACTGATTAGTTTATGAAAACAATCGTCTCAACGGTTCTCAAAACCACCAAAATTATGTTTTTTTGACCCATTCGAGCATTTTTCCAGTAGAAATGATGCGATTTGGATTGTTTTTCGTTCAATCGATGAATATTCGTATGCAATACACCAGAACAGATTTTGAGCAAAATCGACTCAGGCGTTTTCCAATTTTTCTAAAAATAAAACTTCTGGAACTCTGATTTTTTTATTTTATTTGGGTTCCCTGATGTTATTGACTAGAGGACAATGGGGTGGGGGTGGATGAATGCAGTACACAGTTGTTAATTATCGACAGTCGAGTTCGAAGGTCAGGTATTTTATCCATTTTTCTTTGCTTCAGTTACGTGGTTTATGATCGAGTAATTTTTATCCTCGAGTTTTTCGATAATTCAGGGGTGAAGTGGACAAAACGACAACATGGCACTTCATAATTGCTGGCTTTCTAGTGCACTGATAGAAAAGGCCGAACGCTTTAGTTGCTGTTGAGGCTTCTTAACTATTACTACGATTCGTTAATCGTTAACAAATAGTGAACCCTCGTTAAGGATGTTTATCCAAAATCGCAAATATTAAAAAAAAATTGATTTTTTTTCAACTGAGTGATGAAGTTACTCCCTTTATCTTGATAAAAATTTCAATCCACCAAACCACGTTTATTATTTAGAAATGAAGTGGATAAAATGCACCAAAGGCATGCGCTTTAAGGATAATCGGGCGAGTCCGGTGGGTTAGAAAAAAAGCAGCCATTTTTCTCTTTTATTTTTTACGTATTCTTTAAATGATGGAAAAGGCGTATGGAAAGTTTCAGACTGCTGGGGAACATGGTTAATTTATTATGAATTTTTGAAAAAGTGGTCATTTAACCCGTGATCTTAAGGAAATCTAAAAAAAACTGCAAAAGCCAAGGAAAAAATGCAGCCAAAGTCATGAAACTTTAGACACATTTAGAACATGTGATCAATGATCTTTTGAGTGAAAAAGATTGTCGCCTAGGAGCATTGTTTATTAATAATAGCGAAAAAAGTACTGAAAAATGAAATTTCTGCGCCCGCAGCCCAAACGAGCAGCAACGTCCCAAGTACCGATCGGGTGGGGGTAGCGCGGTCAATTTAAACGTCTCTTGAGAGAGAGCGATGAAGCGTTGTGATTGGAGCTCCCTCGAGCCAGTGGTACCAGCTCCTGGTGAAAAAAAAAACGACCGAAGATGTTGCCACTTTTTCGCATGGATTAATATTTTTTCATTTATTTAAAAAAAAAACAATCTGAAAACCATTCAATGCGTGGAACAGATACAAATAAATTTGATTAGCTCCAAAAATAATTTTTAACCGGAGATACTCCCTAATATTGCCTGGATTTTGAATCCGAATGGGAAAAATTTTTTTGTTCAGCGATTGGTTTTCTGCAGGAAAACAATAGAAACCCCTCCGCCTCATCTACTACATTTCCTCCTCGCACGATTATCCTTAATTTTCATTCTTATTTTTTTTTCATAAGTCAGGAGAAAAAGGATAAAAAATAACCCAACCTTCTTTTATAATAAGTGGGTTTTCATCGAACATCTTCGACTTTCGTAGGAATCGCAGAGTTTTGTTTCGAGGACCATTGCTGTAAGATAATGAGAGCTGTCAAAAAGGTCTAATTTAGGCAGTTCTCTTAGTTAACTTCGGTGGTTGCCCTTGTTCTTGATATATTTTGAAACATTTAGTGGCCCCAACGTGACATTCGATTATCTTGTTATGTGACATTATTTACAAATTGCAAGGATTCTAAGTAGTTCGGACGGAGCTTGATAATCTTTCCCATTCTTCATTCATGCGATTTAGGATCGAGTAATTTTCATTCTCGGGTGTTTTTCATAAGTCAGGAGAAAAGGGATAAAAAATAACACGTCTTTTTTTTCAACAAATGCGCTTTCATCGAACATCTTTGACTCTCATAGGAGTAGCAGAACTTTTATGTGAGGACCGTTGCTGTAAGGCAAAGAAAGTTACCAAAAAAGTCTATATTAACTCCGGTGGCTGACCTTGTTTTGAAGATATTTGAAAAAACTGGCCCCAACATGACATTCGATTATCTAATTATGAGACCTTATTTCGAAGTTGCAAAGGTTTTAAAAAGTTCGAACGGAGCTTGATAATCTTTCCCATTCTTTGTTCATGCGGTTTAGGATCGGGTAATTTTCATTCCTGGGGTTTTTTTTCATAAGTAAGGAGAAAAGAGACGAAAAATAACACGTCTTCTTTTTACAACAAGTGCGCTTTCATCGAACATCTTCGACTCTCGGGTGTGATGATGACGACGACTGATGAAAAACTCTACGGTAATTCCGGTAGCTTCCATCGTTTTTTTATGTATACTGGAAATATTGGTTTCAAAACGACGTTTAATTATTTTTTATTTAACATTCCAGAATTGCGCGGGTTTTGAGTAGTTCAAAAGGAACTTCATCAACTTTTCTTTCTTTGATTTTATTTTTGGCTCTCTTATCTCTTATTGAAGCACTGCATCAGCAGTTCCTGATGAAGCCGTTTTTATTCTTGGATGTTTTGATAATTCAGCAGCGTAGTGGCAAAACAATACAAAGAAACTTCAAACAGGTGGATTTTTTATGAATACCAATCTTGGATTATAATAGAAATTGTGACATCTTCGTGAAAATCATTTGTGGTCTGTAAACTAAAAGCTATCGAAATAGTATTTCTTCATTAGACTGAAAAAAACTTTTCTGGCGAATATGAGTTTGCAGCCTGAGCCGAAGTCGAGGGTTGCAATCATATGAGCTAGAAAAGTTTTTTTAGGCCGTATGTCGAATGATATTTCGCGTTTGTAAAGCGCTGCCTTACGACTGAAATGACAAAAAGATCTATGCAAATTGCCGTGGCTTCCCTCCTCGATTCTGAAATATTCTGAAAAAACTAGTTTCAAAATAAAATTGGGTTGAGTTAGTCGCCGCTCTACTTCGTAATTGCAAGGATTTCAAATCGTTCATGTCACGTTTTCACCGTAACTGTTACTAAAATATGGAAGAAACTGAGACAACCAAGCAACGGTATTTTCACTTTGTGCGTTACGCACTTATCACTAAGATTTTGAATATTTGCATTGTTTATAAATAAATACGAATGCGTTGAGTTACTTGAATTATAATTTTAATTGCGCTAAAAATTTACATAATACACTTTAAATTATACTAGTTTAAAAGTACTTGAAACTTATATTAAGTATTCTAACATTTACTTAAAGCAAACTGTATTGAATACAAGATTCAAAGGTTCTTTTGAAGTGCGAAACGAATCCGTGAATTACTCGAAATAGACTGAAGTTGAAGATTTTCGGAAGAAGAGACTTGCCCCTGACCAGCGTGAGTGGGACAGAATTTCCACGTTTTCATTGGTTGGAAAAACCGTTGAATTTTTCCTAAGATGCAATTGGTCATGGAGAGGGAGAAAGAAAACTATGTACATAAAAAAAGGGAAAGCGGACCTTATCTGAGAACGATGCGCTCTCGGTACGTTGCGAGTGTCGCACACAAGATTGATCGAATGATTTTGATTTCAAGTGATTTCAAAGTAATTTCATGTGATTCCAGGGAATAATTGATTTCAAGTGATCTCGAGTGATCTCAAAAGATTTTGGCCCCGATGTCATGATTTCAAATGATATCAATTTTATTATAAATGATATCATATTCGTTAAAATGCGTGTTGGGTCGATAATAAATTTTTATTTTTTTTCTATACGTTTCAAAATAAAATTTCTCATCCCACCGATTTGGGGGTTCCAAGTGATGTTATATGAAATTGCTTGCAATCAATGAATTTACATAGTTTCCCTGATTTCATTCGATTTCAACTGATTTCATGTGATTTCATCCCAGGATGACATTGATTTCACCAGTGAATAACCCTTCGGTCGCGTATGTGTTGACTACCGGGGCTGTCTAGGAAGTAATAACCGAGCAAACACGCGCAAAAAATTTGGAAAATTTCTAACCCGAGAAATTGTCACGGAATTTTTCCAGAGTATTCCGTAATTTTTATCTGAATCTCCTGCGAAAAATGACGATACCGTCACTTAAATTTTCTGAATCGATTCCGTAATTGATGAGCGAATTGTGAGTTCCGTAATTTCGACTGAACATTTCTCGCCGTGCATCGTAAAAATTTTTAAAGATCATGTTTCAAATTTATTCTCAAATCTGAACATAATGAAAGTGGACATTAACTCCCTTTTAATAAATAACTGAATTCATTATGATAAAAAATAATATGTATAAATCACTAGCCAATGATGCGCGCGAAGCGCGCCCCTTCCCTAGTTGATTAAATTCTCGATGCTACAGGCTTGCAATAATTCATATGACAAATTACTCAGTTTTTTCATTTATTTTGTTTATGAGCAAATCAATTTTTATCGTTGAGTTTTGAACATGAGGCTTTCAATTATTGAAATAAAAAACTAATTGTGGATTTCTGATGATTCAGGTGACGCAAAGTTGATGAAGAGGATTAGTGAGACGAGTGAAATCGTTTCTAGGGAAAGAGACTGCCAAAATGGTCAGCAAACTGCCGCAGGAATTCAGGAGATACCAGAGGAATCGCCAACAGTTGAGACACATCTTCAAAGAGACTCAACGCACTTTGGATGTTATTAATCATGAAAACTTCTTTCCTGACGGTAATGATTTTTTATTGAAAGGAATAAGACTAATGGAACAAAGATAAGATGCAGCAATAATAGATAATTCCGTAAATTATGGGACCATCATCAATACGAATAGTTTGAGGGGAAAATATCATGGGAAGGAAAAAATTAAAAGAAATTAACAATGAAATGGATTCTCGTATTGTGTTCTAATAAGTGTTCATTATCGACAAAATTTGTAATTTATGAAGGCGATAAATCAATTTGCCATTTTTCATGACTTTACCATTGAATTCAATGCTCCGTTGATCGCGCTCAGAGTGTCACGCTGCACTTTTGACAATTTGTTGAATAACATTGTTTTAAAATCCTAAAGAAAATTTCTGAAAGTTTTCCACGTTATCTTGAAGTGTATAGAAGTATATACTTCACCCCCAAAAATAAAAAACTGAGTTTTACTTAGCTGAGTTTTTTGAAGTATTCCCTTCATTAAAGAAGGGAATTTATATAGTGTTTCACATCTTTGTGACGCCATAGGAAATTAGTTGGATAGGATTTGGATGAGGTAGGAGAGGATCCGGGATTATTCTCAATATGAATTAACAAGAAATATTTCAAATCCCGATCTGGACTATCCATTTTTTTCAGTAAATATTTCTTGTCAATTCGTATTGAGAATAATCCCGGATCCCCTCCTACCTCATTTAAATCCTATCCAACTAATTTCCTATGGCGTCACAAAGATGTGGAACGCTATATAAATTCCCTTCTTTTATAATTAATAACGATTTTCATCGAAAATAATTTTAGTGATAAATATCGAAAATTTTATGTTAAAACCCTAGGGTTCGCCCCATGATAGGGCGAAACTTCTCAACTTTGAATTATAATGAAGTAATTAACGATTATAGATAGACAGATATTTATTCATTGATGCTACTTTTACAGTTTTACATCCATAATTAATGATAATATTTACTATTAAAATTTTGGCTGAATATCATCAACAATAATTTGAAGTTGATTTTTGAATTTTCTCAGGTTTTGTGGCCATTTTTCTCTGGCCATTCGATTCAGTATAGTTTTGCACATTACCTTCTATTTTTATTTCTATTTTTAAAGTCTTCTAGTAGGTGAATTATAAATTTCAACATAAATCCCATAAGAGCCCGTATATAAAGAAAAATTTGTTTATTTATTTCTGGCGAGACTATTGTGATTAATTTTTTTCAATATCAAAGAAGTTCATATGTTCTGCTATCAGCCAAAAAAATTATGGAATTTTCCTTGAACATGAAAACAAGATTTGCTGAAAATGGTTTAACATCCTTAATTGTCAACATTTTGGACAAATTTCAGGAGTGAATCACTGTTGAATACAGAATACAAATGCAGAGAGAATACTTTCATCTCGAAATTTGATATTTTCCTCTGTACGAATAAAACCATTAATTTCGTTCACCAAATTGTTTTCACAATTATTACAATCATCTACGTATCCCGATATAATATTTCCTTGGATTCGAAATTTTTCACGTTCTTCAAATTCTTTCAACATTTTCAATTACTCGGAGATTAGCACACGAAGTTCAATAGCAAAGTTATCACTCCGCTTTATCAAACGAGATAAGTGCACTGAACTCAAGTGTAACTTCTCGGCAAATATTCCTGAATTTGAGAGGAATGGACATACTTCCCCACATACATTATTTTTCATCACGCTGTGACGAAAAGTGGACTTTTAGGCACGCGGACCGTGCCTAAAAGTTCAATTTCCGCCACATTGTGATGAAAAATACTGTTCGTAACTCGTGAAAAAATGTTTTTTAGCTCGTGGGATTATATCACTCGCCTTCGGCTCGTGATATAAACCTCCCACACGCCAAAAAACACTTTTTTGCACTCGTTACGAAATATACTATTTTCGTTATCACTTCCCTTGTAAGGAAGGCTTTCGGAGCACTTTCATCATCTCTTTTGGATACGAAGATATTTTCTAGAAACTGCGTTCAGAGGGGAATATGATACTCTCTTTAATTATGAAAATATCATGATAACGAGTGATTTGAAGAAAGAATGTCAAGATTTTTTTTGATCAACGAAATTTAGAATAACTAGACAAGACGCGTGCACTGTCTGTCACCTCATTTACTTGTGAGAAGTTTCCGTTTCTTCGTCCAAATTTTAAATGTATTTAATTTCATACATTCATAAATGCATTGTAAAAATGGATGATAGATAGAAAAAAACTCACGCAATAATAAAGATTTTCTTTCTTATAATTGTTGAAAAATAAGGGAAGTGTGACGAATTGATTTTTTTAAATAAAAATGAACAATTTTGTTGCATTCCCCAGAAAATTCGAGAATTCTCTAGAAAACTGAACAATTTTCGAAACTTTTCTCGAATGAGAAAACAATAGACATTTTGCTAGAATTTTCTTAGAAAGCGGGGAAAATCGATGGCATTGAAATTAATGAAAAGTATAACCAGAATAATGATGATGATAACATTCAACTAAGTTGAAAAATTAACAAAATTAGGTAAAAAAATCTTATTCAATCTAATAAAATGAAATAAGCAATGAATTATACATGATAGACAGAAATGAGCAAAACAACCGTTCTGGAGCATTCGACACTCGCTCCGATTTTCATCATTTCCATTCCTTCATCTCAAGTTAGAGGTGAGATATGGCTTTTCAAGGGGAGGGGGATTTATAGGGGATTCTTGATTTTTTGATTAATAGCTCATTACACTGAAAAAAAAATTATTTTTGCCAAATATTCATTTACTTGAGAGAAGCATTTATTTTTTCAAAACTGTATTTCTCCAATCGAGTCATTCCCAGACGAGTCTGATGAAGTTTCAATTATGACAATCATGTTGCTCTAGAGGATGACTATGTTGCACATGACCTTGAATGAACTCCTCCAATGATTCATTTTTTTATTAATTTTTCCTAATTTCTTATTTTCTAGAAAGAAGAATTTTGATTAATTTGTTAATGTTGATAATTATTCAAGGAATTCACTCTAGGTCATAACGAACATGGTCATCCTCTACAACAGTATAAGTTTCATCATTAAAACCTAATGAGGATTGCCTGAGAACAATGGACGACTCCATCGGAGAAATATGGTATTGAAAAAATGAATACTTCTCTCAAATAAATGGATATTTGACAAAAATATTTTTTTTCTCAGTGTAAACTGATATAAAAGCCGTTGGAAATTTGAGAATCATCTAGAAAACTCTCCAATCGATCAAACATCGATAGATTTCTTACAATGCTTCTAAAAATAGCAGCATTTTCTAGAACTTCTCTAGAGTTTCCAGACTTTCTGTGAATTCTCTAGGATAGTCTCCCGTTCTGTCCGCGATCCTCGAATTTTCCAGGATTTTCGTCGATATTGCTATTAATTCTAGAATTCACCGTGAGGTGAATCGCACTGCTAGTAATTTCCCACTTAAAAATATATGACAGCTCAACTTTCCCATTTTACACTAACTCCTTTATCTCTCCTTCCTTCCAGAGAATATAATCGAGGAATTGTTACCCTCCGTCACACTGGATCGTTTGACCCACATTCTGGACAACCACCCAGCAATAGTGATATCCGGACAAGACTGCAAATCCAAAGCAGCGCTCGTCAACCGCCTCTTAGCAGCTGAGATACTCCCCTCGACGGACGGCGACTGGAGGTGGTTGAAATTCGCTTACGGCCCCACCAACCACGTGAGTCTCACCCTGGGCCTGGAATACGAGGTTGTCGACCGAGTCCAGGCGAACGAAATCGCCTGGAAGACACTCCCCGAACAAGACCTCAACAGATCGGGCAACGAGGACCCAAACTGTCCCACAATCCTCGAAGTCAAGCTCGACAGAGCAGTCCTGAAGGACAACGTGCAGATCTTCGTGGTTCCTGACATCGCAGCGGTTAAGTCCCTGGCAAAAGGAGCCCTCGGGATTCTCCCGATTTTTCTTTACGCCTTGAGTGACCACCCCTTGACAGAACAGAACACAGAAGATTTACGAGAGCTCAAGGAGACCTATCCTTACACTCCAGTGCTCTTCGTCTCGTCTCTGGTCAATACAATCTTCGACAGTGTGGACGGAGACCTGACAGAATCAGAACAACATCGTCTGCAGAGTCAATCGGAAGCCCTCGCCCCGTCGGCCCCATCAGACTCCTTCAAAGAGGACGAAAAACTGAACCTCGAGAAGATGAACTCCCTGGGCCACACCTGGCTGGATCAACTGGGAGACCTCGGCTTCCTGAGAATGGAGTCCGACGAGGTGGACCAAATGACCTGGATGGTTGGTGGACAGTACGTCAACTCCTCAGACCTCATCGAATCTTACTCGAAGATCGATCGAGTCCTCTACTTCACTCGAGGCTGCCTCCAAAGCTACCTAGTCAACGCTGGCAACTACCTCAATGAAATTCACACCACGTCCCTCAGGAAGTTCATCCTCAGTGCCTTCGACATGGCCCGAGAGATCCAGATAACCCCCAGAAGGATCCAATACGCCCAACAGAAGGAGAACGAGCTCTACACGAATCTGATGAGCGTGGTGAGCAAAAATCAAGAGGAACTGACGGATTTGATTCAGAATATAATTCAGGAGATGAAAAATGACGTTGAAGGGGCTGACGACGATCCTTATAAGTACCAGAGTGCGTTATCAGAGGATTCCGAGAGAAACGAGTGGCATGCGACTGTCAGATCAGCTACAACCGAGGTCCAACGGCTTGTTCTGAGTAAATTGAGCGAGAAGGTAGCTAAACAATTGGTGACGTCTGTCAATTGCCTCCGGGAGAACTTCTTTGGGACCCTCCAAAGATGTTTATTGGAGTTAGAAAAGAGTTACGATCAGGATGGGAATCTCCTCGCCAGTGATGCACTGAACCAGATATTATCAGCAGCTTACAATGTCGAACTTCATAATTCATCTCCATCGTTGGTTCACTCCTTTCTGGAGAGACTCAGGCAGCTGTTCAAGGCCATGCCCCTCCCCTGGGCACCAACGCCGACTCTGGACGCCTTTTGGAGGAAGAAGGTCACTATTGATCTTCTTAATTCACTCTCAGCTGCGAGATTAGCGAAGACTATTTCCACACAGTTCAGGGATAAAATAAAATCCTCTCATGATGCGTTTCATGCAGCTCTGAGGTCGTTGGAGAATCATTACTCTGGGAGGCTGGAGAGGACTGAGGAGCAGAGAGTGGCCATCAGGAAGATCCATGCACCGAGACTCGCGAAATTGGCTCTCGAGTCGACTTCGATGAGTGATATGGTCAGGTTTGGAATTCCTCACCAGGGGAAGGAGATTGGGAGGGGGCAGTATGGAGTTGTTTTTGCCTGTGATGGGTGGGGAGGGGCTCCTGGACCTTGTGCTGTCAAGTCTGTTGTGCCTCCTGATGAGAAACACTGGAATGATCTTGCTATGGAGTTCTATTACACCAGGAGTATTCCTGATCATAAGAGGATTGTGAAGCTGAGGGGGTCTGTGATCGATCATAATTATGGTGGGGGCTGTGGACTAGGCGCTGCGGTTTTATTGATCACTGACAGGATGAGTCGAGATCTTTACTGTGGCATCAGGGCTGGGCTGACCTGGCTGGAGAGGATACAGATCGCTATTGATGTTCTCGAGGGCATCAGGTATCTGCATTCTCAAGGACTTGTGCACAGGGATATCAAGCTGAAGAATGTTCTGTTGGATGTGGAGAATCGAGCCAAGCTGACTGATCTTGGATTTTGTATTACTGAGGCTATGATGTCGGGGTCGGTGGTGGGAACTCCTGTTCATATGGCGCCGGAATTGCTCTCCGGACATTATGATAGCAGTGTCGATGTTTATGCGTTTGGCATTCTGTTTTGGTATATTTGTGCGGGACATACTAGGATGCCGTATGCCTTCGAGACTTTTCAGAATAAGGAGCAGCTTTGGGGGAGTGTTAGGAGAGGTAAATATGGCTTTTTGTTAATTGTGAATGGTTGTTGGGGTTTTTTAAGTTTAGAAAAGTGGATTTAGAGAAGGAACACGGATGAAAAAAATTAATAGAAAAGCCTAGTAAATTCGTTAGAAAAATCTATTGGATTTTTATTGAAGTTTCTATTAGTTTTTGGCCGATTCTATTGAAATGTTCAATAGAAAATATTCAATAGAAATCGATTTTTCTATATAACTTATTCTCTTCAGATATTTTCGATAGAATTTCTTTGGTTCAATTTTTCTACGTTTTTTTCATATTATTTTTCATTTCTTCACATCAAGAAAATCAAAAAAAAAACTTAGAAAATGTGAGCCGAGGAAATTCTATAGAAAATATCTATTATAATATCTAGTTATCTAGTAATATCTAGTTATATAAAAAATCGAATTATATTGACTTTTTCTACTGAATTTTTTTATTGGACATTTCAATAGAATCGACCAAAAACTAATAGAAACTTCAATAGAAATCCAATAGAATTTTCTAACGAATACGTTAGGGTTTTCTATTAAATTTTTTCGTCCGTGAATATCAAAAATTTGATGCCACGAAGTTGAAATTCTCCAGATGGAATGAATTTTGTTATTTTTGGGTAAAACTCTTGAGACTATAGACCATTTGATAATCAACAAGGATGTTGTACTTCAAACGAATTATATTCTCAATTATTTGGAGTTAATTATCACTAAAGTAAATTATTTGAGGGCGAAATGTGAAAAATTTTGGACAAAAACTAGCAATTAAAAAAAAATCATAACTGCCTCAATTATCCATATTTTTCAATGAGATGGAAATCCCCAACATCGACTTTTTTGTCCTGCTGATTTGGCGGGGATCTGCTCAAAATGATTTGCAAATTTGTTTCTAACTCATGTTACATCATAAACTGATGACTGATAATATTGACTGTGGATTAGGTGTGAGGCCTGAACGTTTACCTCACTTTGATGGTGAATGCTGGACACTCATGGAGCAATGCTGGTCTGGTGAACCCTCGAAACGACCTCTCCTCGGTGCTATTTTACCAGTGCTGGAATTGATCCGTGAAAAAGCTGAATTAGGCAAGTCCATGACAGAAATCGACGCAGTCAGACAACCCAGCTCGTCATCCTCATTATCAGACACGAGAAGTCCAGCTTTAGCATTAGCCGAGCCCAATAACCAAAGAGGCACCATGGCAAGTCCTCTTCCAAGACGTAGACCATTAAGAGCTCTCAAACATCCTGTCCTACACATGACTAATCTGTTTCAAACTAGTGTGTGCTCGAATCTCTATGTTCAAATGCGTGAATTCTAAGCACTAATTCTGCTGGCAGTAGTTTTAAAGGGGAAAATTGAAGGGGAAATTTTAAAGACTGAGAAGTGTCCAATTATTTTTTAATCAAATATCGACAGATGCCAAATGGTCAAAAATTCGGAGAAAATTTATGTTTCTTCATGTTTCTAAAGAAAATTTTTTTATTCGAATCATTGAAATTAGGGTAGAAAATTCAAGAACTGTTTTTTATTGAAAGCAGAGAAATTATTTTTATACCTAAATATATGGGGAAAAAAATTGAGCGAAAAAGTAGATAAATTATTTATTAAATTAATGAAATGTTTTAGGAAACAGGGATTTCTCAGGCTTTTTATTAACTATTCCTTGTGCCAATGCTATTGTTGCTGCTAAACCACTTTTATTTACCTTGAAAAACTTTTATCTCAGCTTTTTATTTTTGTAGCGAAGTGATAGACAACTGGAGATGATTGTCAAATTTTATTACAAACTATTGTAGGGGACTTTTTTCTCTACAAAAAAAGTTTCTTCGAGTTATATAGACAACAATCTTCGCCTGACTTGTTATTGCATTTGTTGTCAGTTATATGATTATCTCGATGATGAGTGGCTTGAGGGCAGATGTCCCGAGACTTTTCTTGCGTGAAATTTTCTTCTCTCAAAAAAAAAAAGTCAACATTGTCCTCTAAATCCAACCATCTATCCGAGTGATATTTTCAATCTAATCTCCAGAAATTTGATGTCTTCCTAGATTTGCCCCCTGTGCTGTTGTTTTTATTTCGCTACGACTTTAATTTAATTTTCTGATTTAGGACATAGGTACTAGGTACATAGGTTTCTAATGACCTTATTAGTGTGTATTACTCGATGTAAGATACCAATTAATCTAATTTGACAATTTTTTAAGTATACGGTGGAAAAAAATAGAGATAAAGCCAAAAAATACTTGTGCTCTCTCAACGACGCGTGCTGGCCAATGATATCACCCAGAATGCAATTAGTCTCGGTACCATTCCAGCAGCACGAAAAGATTATTCGTCTAATAAGGTTCTACGATAAGCGATAAATAATAATCATGTGATAAATAAACATAACGAGGCAAGCCCATAGTCCATTGGCACTGTTTTGCCACTGTCATTAACATATTTAATTTGCCTTTTTCATGTCGTCTGTAAACAATGATCATTTGTGGCAGCTTCTTATCGTTTATTTTTCACGTAATTTTCGTCTATTTATCCCTCTCTTTCCTAATTCCCAAAGAGTCTCAAGTCTTTATAATCAGCATACGACGTTGTCGAACGCGAATACGAAATGTTGTACAATTGAAAAAAATGAATAATTGTGAATACATTGTAAGATTTTTTTATTTTTGTGTTTAAGAGATTTTTAAATAAAGATTATTTTTATGTAATTTCGGAGTCGTCGTTCGTACGTCGTTTTCTATCTATCCATCTATCTATCTACTTATTTATTCATTCATTTATTTATTTCTTAACCAACACATCCTTGCCTTGTCCAAATTCAGAGCTCGTACATACAACGGGAAATCACATACAATGATCCTGTGGCGATTTCGAATATTTCCTATTGAAATTCTTTCAATCAAGAAATTTGCAATTCTTATAGGGCCGGTTGCACCAAGTTCTATTAGTTAAATAAATCGTCAGAATTAGAGATGTGCAATCTCGTTACTTTTATGTCCCGAAAATAGTCGTTACAATATGAGAAAGTATTCGTTCCTGAATGCTCGTTACTCGTAACTTTTTTTTTATCAATGATTGAAATAAAATATGAGAGTTAAATAACGAGAAGAATCAAACGAGGTAAAGTGACGCAGTTAAAATTTTATTTGCAAAAAAAAATTTTATATCAGTTGGAGAATTTTCTGTTACATCTTTTGGAGCTTTCAGAGGATTAACTGGGAGTTTGCATTGAGGAACGTCATAATTCGAACATTCTTTGGTTTCAGGCAGCTAGAATAGAAGTTTACAAAAAATACCGGATACGTTGCGATTTTGATACTCGTTATTTTCGGGTAGGAGAAATAACGGATTAAAAGTAACGACTAGTTACGATCCGCACATCTCTAGTTAGAATAAATTTATGTCTGGAGACAATTTTCAGAATTCGTTGTAAAGTGCTTTCATTCAGCCATTTGGTCATGAATATCGACCAAATACTTCATAATTAGTAGTATTATTGGCAAATAATGACGATATATCGATACACTACATTTTTTTGTGAAATATCTTCGATGAACTTTCGATCGAAATTGATTGGCAGATTATTTTTATTTATTCCGATATATGCCTGACGATTTTCTCAACTAGGCTTGGTGCAACCGGGCCTATAAAGTAGAAAAAAAATTCAAGTCCTGAACAAAAAAAACATTTTCGACTGAATACTTTTCTGTGAAGATCTCATCCAAAAAGTTCTCTTGTAGAGAATCTAAAATCCTAGATTTTTCGGTTAGTGATATTTCAACATTTTCCGAATTTCGATGGTTCAGAAAAAATCTATAATTTTTTGGGGTAATGAGAGAACATCGGAAACCAACTTTTTTTATGATTAAAAAAAAATTTTGCAACAGCTTGGACAACGTGAAGTAGACAATTTTTTTTGTACTCTGGATCTCATGGAATTTATGTTCAAATTCATGATTTACCAGTTAGAAGAATCAAGAAAAAAGAACTAAAATGGGGAAAAGTTTGAAAAGATATGAGGAATCCAATCGACAAGAAATATGTGGGGTACCCAGCAAAAAGATGGAGATGGTAGAGACAGTAGGTCTTGGGTAGATGAATTGAAATTTTTGTCAACATGAAGAAAATAATTTTGTCTATTGGTTGAAAAAAATTAAATATTCTGAGTCGTTGCAGTTATTGATAAACTTGTATAGGAAATGGTTGAAATTTTCATACTGGATCATTCCATGGAATGCTGTAGGCGTTATCGATACGTGTGATTTTGTTATCATTTGATAACAAAATGATGATGTTCCAAAATACCGTCAAAGCTTGGTAGTGAATAACAATAAGCCACAATTTTTTATTTTTTCGAACAACGTTGCTGCGGTCTCACCCTGCGTGTTTTCAATTCACTTCGTTGTTCAAGCAATCAGCCTTGAAGAAACATTATCAATTTTCTTTTATTGATTCTACGTTATTGGAAGGGAAATAAGCCGAGAATAGAATTCATGGGGATTGTGAAAATAATCATGAGTACAATGGTTTCATTATTGACTTGGCGGAATATTCATTCATCAGGAGAGGAAAAATCCCGGAATATTTTTGATTGGGTATCCATGCTATTCATTGAATTCTGCGGCTAAGTGGTAAAGGAGATAAGTCCAGAACGTTCTTTAGGATTTATTTGAAGAATATCTAGGATGCTGTGGATTTACGGGAAAATATGACTGAATTCTTTGTAGCGAATGAAATTTTCTACAAGAGGTCTAATATTTTTCTCTAAACCCACTCTTCTTACAATAATTGCGAAATTGATGAAAAATTTTTTTCACTTGATAGTTTTCATGAACTGTTAATGCATTTTCGTTCGATTAAGGATGTACTACACCCTTTCGGCCAAAATTCACGTTTTTTTCATTTTTCTGGCAAATTATTGATCGGCGTTTTATCATTCTTGACTGACTCACGAAGTTTTATGATAGTGCAATCATTTTCCTGCATTTTTTCTAAAGTTTTGTGAATTTCCGAAAAGTTTTAGAGAAAATGCAGGAAAATCATTGCACGATCATGAAATTTCGTGAGCCATTAATTAATGTTAAAACGCAAAAACGGTATATTTTTTCACGTCAATCCCATCAACAATTTCCCAGAAAAATGCAAAAAACGTGAATTTTGGCAAAAAGGGTGTAATACAACCTTAAGTGGATTTTCGGACTTTTTGGATCATAATGGGTCGATACAAAACGAAAAATCCAAAACTTAAAGTTGAACGATTACAATGCTTCCATTCGGGAGCAAAAAACTAATTCGTAAAGTTATTGAATACATTTTTTCAAAAATTTTGAAAAAAAAACCTCTGTAGCTCATAAACTGGAGACCCTGGACTATTTTTAACATTTGAAGCGTCTGTGGGGCAAACGAACAATAAATTTTTTTTTGCACTAATTATTCGTTTTCAGACATATGTGAACATCCGCATGAAAAGGGAGTACTTTGTGGATACCGAGATATGTGTACTCTGATAATATTGATAACATTCCGCACATTTTAAGCCGAAAATGATTTTCATAGGATCAAGAATGACGTCGTTGGAGAAAATGAAAGAAACAATTTAACATTGGTATAAATGGGAGTTGCTGCGGAAATCCACATATAATCGATCGTCAATGTATGAGAAATTTCATTCCAATAGCCCGCGACTTAAAACTCATAATAGTCTCCTCTTAAAAACGCCCTTTGAAAATGTTCAATTTTTTTCTACTTTTTTAACTGCACACTCATAATTTTTAGGGACTCCTGCGTGGTATAAAATCCAATGGAAATGATATATATTTTAAATTATGAAGACAGAAAAACAATGAAGAAAACGTTTGAAAGATGATCCAAACGGGTCTTAATTTTGCATTCGTCTCCTACCACTCCATTACTAAATCTTCTTCTATCTCTGATTTATAATATTTCAGGTAGGCTCAACGCACTGTACTTCAGCGTCGAGTAGCATATCGCTTGTATCAGAGTCCAGCGAAGTTGACGAGACCTTCAGGGTGTCGATTTTATCTGGATGCGAAGGAAGTGTTCACTATCGACGATAACTCTTAACTTGTGATATTTGAAGGGACTTATAAATTAATAGATAATAGTGATGCAATATTTTCATATGTGCAGGATATTTTCAGCTGTGTAAAAAGTATTTCACCAACTTTGTATATGAGGTATTCCATGCCAAATGAGTCAACGGCTGACTCTCACGCTCTTGAAAATTGATGGCGATTTTTTCTACGATTGGGGGGCTTGAAAAACTATCTCTCAAATTTTTTAAGATTTTTTTGACAGCCCAGTTCAGAGATTTTTTTTTTTTCAAATTGTTTTTTTACAATAACTCGAGTTCTATTCATCCAATTTTGATTTATTAGGGATCAAAATTTTCCGTTTTTCACCACCTATAAGAATGTTTTTGTCCAAATTTTTTTCAATCTCTAGATGCTTGAAATAACGAATTTTCGAAAAAAAAAGTTGAAAAACTTGAATTTGGCTAATTACGTCACGGTTGATTATTGTAATTTTTTTTTCAGTAATTCCTATAATCAAAACAAAAATTTTGAGCTGTCATACATGTTGGGTTTCGTCTTAAATCTATTTTATTTTTAATTTTTTTATTCTCAAAATTCCGTGAATTCGGTCAAAATACCCCAAAATGTCATTGGTTGACTTTGATTATAAACAGTATGAAGTAAATTTAAATATATACCTATACATGACATATTTTTTCGATACATGATTAAAGTCGTTTTAAGGTGTTTTCACCAAATTTTCGCAATTTTAAGAAGAAAAAATTAAAAAAAAATAGATCCTGGATGGAACCCAATATGTATGACGGCTCAAAATTTTCGTTTTCATTATAAGAATTACTGAAAAAAAAATTAAAATAATTGACCGTGACGTAATTGGCAAAATTCAACTTTTTCAACTTTTCTTTTCGAAAATCCGTTATTTCGAGCATCTAAAGATTGGAAAAAATTTGAAAAAAAAACATTCTCATAAGTGGTGAAAAATGGAAAATTTTGCCCCCTAATAAATCGAAATCGAGTGAGTAGAACTCGAGTTATTGTAAAAAAACGGAACAATTTGAAAAAAATCATATTTCCGAACTGGGCTGTCAAAAAAATCTGAAAAAATTTGAGAGATAGTTTTTCAAGCCTCCTGATCGTAGAAAAAATCGCCATCAATTTTCAAGAGGGTGAGGGTTAGCCGTTGACTCATTTGGCATGGAATACTTCATCTACGTTCGGTCCTAAGTATTTATTCATCGTCCTTATTATATTGTAAAATTTGTTAATTTACTCGAAACGGATTTTATCCACGAATTGATTTATCCTATGCCAAATTGTCGTTTTCTCGTCTTTATGAATATTTTTAATTTATGTCTGTGCCAAAACCATAATTTTGTACTCCGAATAAAAAACATTTTTATATGAAAATGAGAAGTTTATTGATGCTTATATAATGAGTTCAAATTAATAGATCTAGGCTGTTCTTTGCCTTCTCCAAATCATGAAGGAACTTGTAAAACTGACTGAGAGTCATCTCTGTAAATACATCCGACTTCTTTCCATTGTCATCCAGAAGCAATCGTAGCTGGAGGAAAGTTTTTCCGACCTTATCAGACTCACTGCTCGTCGCAGTCACTGAAAAATTAGATTTATTGAGCTAACAATGGATACGGAGGGTAAAAACAATTTTTTAGTTGTAACCTAAGTCTCCGGGTTATAAATATTTGAAGATAGAATATTCCTCCAATATTTCACTGAAGCGAGTTGAAAAACTGGATGATTTATTAATTCCACAGTTTGGCCACATTTGTTTGAATAAGAATATTTACTTTGAAAAATTAACGGATTTTGATTTATCTATACAGCTATTGAGATACATTCTATTGTGATATTTTCTAGAAAAATTTAGCGGTATAAACTCTTCAAATTTTTCTCAGTACATCTCTGATTTCACAAAAAAATCCAGGAAAAACGAGGGAAATTCAAGTTGAAAATGTTTAGGAGAGAGTAGGATATAATGGACTATCGAGTAAAGGACCACTCCAGAACAGTCGGCACTTTTTATAGAATATTTGGAGGAGCTACAGAATTTCCTAATAAAATTGAAAAACAATAAATAGAATTTTCAAGAGAAATTCAATACAATTCCCTCGCGAATGTGCTACGATTTCCTGTTTGATTTTTTCTTATTCTTTACAATTTTTGTTATTACAATTTTCTATGCAATAGAATGGTTATACCGATAGTTTTCCATCAAGCGCTCCATCAGAAATATTTGTTCATTGATAAAATAATGTTTAACGAAAAAATAAACCCGATGACTTCAACAACAGAAGGGCCGGTGAGATTTCCGCAATTTTAAGAAAGGATATTGAATATTTAGCGCATAAACATGCATTGTAAATGATTTCATATTTCAACTTGCATTGGATATTCCATAAATAAAACGAAAAATGTACTGATTATTTCACATTTCCATAATATTACTCGTGTATAATCAATCATATTACTCGTATATTGATCATGCGATCAATTATTTTTTCTATTGACCGACATTTAATAAATAAATAAAAGTATGCCCCAGTCGTCCAGAAATTACTTGACTGCATTCAACTATGTCTTAATTTAATTATTCTTTGTTTTGTTATTTTCACTTGAAATCATTTTTCTCTAATTAAAACATTCTTGAAGGTATGGAAGCCATCATATCTCCATTTAGGTGATTCTTTGATTTTAGAACCAACCATGAAACTCGAATTTCCCTTAATCTTCCAGCAGTTGGCCTGTTCACCCTCCCCCAAATCCTATTATAAAAAATATTTTATAAATGAGTGAATCTAACATCACTCATTAGCACATAATTTTTGTTAACGACAAAATTGGGTACAAAACTCATCCTTAACCAATTAAATAGCGATTCGTCTCTCCGATATTGAGAATATGATTTACTAAACGCATTTCAATTTATAACCCAATAATAATGTCTTAAAAATCACATGAATGCTAAAATGATAGAAAAACGCGAGCATTAAAAAGGAAAATTAAAAAACAACATTTGACCAATTATGTATTTCCATTGGAGTAAATATTATTTGATAGGTTATGCTCACCCCCAAATTTCCACGAGACATCAACAATTTTACTCGCAGAGCCTTCCATAATCAATTTCGATCCTTGACACTGTGCTAAAATACTTAATCACTCGTCTATTACCATCTAACAATTCATATTATAACCCTCAATTATTCGAAAAATCCAGATGCACTTGACGTTCGATGCGTGTGATAAACGCCATGGAGATCAAAATATTTTGACAGCTGACCTTCGTTCGTCTCCGGCCCCCGAACTCTCTCGATTGGTCAATATCTTCGACCCGTCAAAACACGACATCTCTTTAAACGCCTCGTGCCCCCATACGTAATTTACTTTATCAGTAACTCAGAAAAAAACTAATTGGAACAACAAATATTGCTTCGACTCATTTGTTTTCCGCTTGGGAATGGACTAGAGGTTGTGAGATATTTAATTACCATGTCTGACACATTCGAGATTAGGAAATTGCTCTATGGAAAAACATCGTTACCGAGGATGGAGGGGCCACCGGATTCTGCTGCATTCCTCGGTGAATTCACTGAAAATAGATTTCTACGCAAATTCCATCTTGATAAGGTAATCTCGATTTGTGTCAACTGTGTTGGGGTCTCGGGGGTCGATTCAAGAATTTTCCATCTGATTCATGATATTCCTAAGATTAGAAAACGCCAAGTATATCATTAAGGGGAGACTGCTTGAGTTTTAAAAGTGGCAGACTATAGGAATGCGATTTCTCATCCATTGAAGATCGATTATATATGTCCAAAAATGAATAATTAGTGCAAAAAAAAATTGTTTATTGTTCGTTTCTCCCTCAGACGCTTAAAATGTTAAAAATAATCCAGGGCCTCCAATTTTTCAGCTACAAAAGTCTTTTCTTCTTCAAAATTTTTGAAAAAATGTGTACAATAACAATTACGAATTAATTTCTTGAAAGTCAAATACTACACAGGTAATTTCGTTATTTTTTTACTAAAAAATTGCACCATTCATGTAAAAAAGTCCGAAAAATGTTTCTGAAAGAATCGAGAATATATTTTTAATATTTTAAAGATAATTTGTCTGCCTATTTTACATGAATGGCGCAAATTTTTATTTTAAACAAAACGGAATTGGCTGATGTGTAGGAGTCGAATTTCAAAAAACTAATTCGTACTTATTATGGTACATATTTTTTCAAAAATTAAAAAAAAAAAAGAAACCTCTGTAGCTCAAAAATCGGAGGCCCTGAACTATTTTTAACATTTTAAGCGTGTGCGGGGCAAACGAACAATAAACAATTAATTTTTTCGCACTAATGACTCGTTTTTACATATATATAATCGATCTTCAATGCATGAGAAATCTCACTCCAATCTCCCGCGACTTTTAAAACTCATAGTAGCCTCCCCTTAAGTGCATAAACAATTATTAAAAGTAACGGAATTTATCTGCTCTAATAATTGCATTTAAAAAAATATATTTTTACAATTTCATATGCAATGAATACGATTGTTATATATTAGTATATTTCAGTACATGTGGGGCAATATCGTCTTTAACGTGTGTGGGGTTTACAGCATGAGCCGAAGGCGAGTGATGTAACCACACACGTTAAGGACGAAATTTCCCAACAAGTACTGAACAAAATTTTATGCCACTCATGCCTGAAACCGGCTGGATTACACACTCGACGCTTCGCGTCTCGTGTCTAATTCAGCCGGTTTCAGGCATGAGTGGCATAAATATATTTTTATTGTTTCATTTTCCCGTATACCTTTCGGTTTTACGGTTTCTAATTCCTTCATCCCGTTTTTCCGCATATTTGTTCTACCCAAATGGTCTTTTCAGTTTTTCCAAACTACACGGAAAGAAATTTTTGATAAAAATTATCCTACCGTTCTATAAAAGTGTATCATGAGTCATCGTTTCCTCATTTCTCTCCCGAAATTTAGTAAAAATTAATATATGATGATCAAATTTTATTCTACGTTTGTGAAATTTNCGTTTCCTCATTTCTATCCCGAAATTTAGTAAAAATTAATATATGATGATCAAATTTTATTCTACGTTTGTGAAATTTTATCCTGATGCATAACAAATTTTTACCCTTCCAGTCCAATAATTTACCCTTCCAGTCCAA